AGCTTCTCGTTGTCGCCGGCTTCCATTTCTCCACTGTACCATAGCCTCCGCTAAGCCGGTCTTCAGCTCGACAGGCCAGCTCGATTCCGGCGAGGGGTAATTGAGCCGTGGGATCTCACTCTCCTCCACAGTCAAACCATCCGAAATCGGAAGCGTTCCCGCCATGAAGTACACCCCGGTCTTGGAGGCAACGGCATGGTAGCGGAGGTAGCGAAACTCCTCCTTGAAACGGGTCCAGGAGAAACTGGTCCAAACCGGGTGCCAAGTTGGTGCCTCCATCATGAAGAAGGGAGAGCACAAGCACTCCCTGGTGGCACCAGTATGTGCTACTAACCAAAGCAGCATCATCCTGCGGAACAGCATTGAGCCCGACTCTGACCCACGAGGTGGTCCTCCAAGTATCCCTTCGATCTGTCCCCTTGCCGCCGCCCACATAAGGGCTCGCACGGCCGGCGTGTAGGTGCGGAGGTCGAAGGCCTTGTTGTTCCGGATGTCCATCCGAACCACAGTGACATCGTCGGACTCTGCGCGGGAAAACTCGGCGCCCTGCTCGTCTCCATTGTACAAGTGGACGATCCACCTCGTCCTGAGAAGTCTCTTTCTCATAGTCCTGTTCCAGGGAAGTGCCTTCAAGTAATGGGCACCTGCCTCGTCAGAGAGGAGGAGCTTGTCGTCCACGCCAAGAAGAGCTGCAATGTCTTCTTCCAAGGGAGCTTGTAGAGGAGCTTCGGGGTCCAACAACATCCGCCTCAAGCTTGCCCGTTCACCGGTCTCTACAAATGCTTCAGCGTAATCTATCCACGTGGTGACCGTCTCCTCTTCCGACGCGATCATCTTCAGCACTCCCTCTTCCGTTTGCTTCTCAAGCTTTCCCAGTTCCACTTGTTCTAAATCCGCAATGAGTTGAAGTGCTTCAGCTTCACGTAGCACAGGCGTATCCCCCACGAGCTTCGTGGGCAGAATCCCGTGGACTGGGTGTCGCACCTGGAGCCCCTTTTTTCTACTCCACTTGAGCTCACAGCCAAGGGAGCTGACGAGGCTTCCGAGTGGCAGGATAGTCCCTCCTCCTTGCTCCTCCTCCGCAAGAAGGGTGCCTCCTTTGTTCTGGCGGAGGTAGATCGTCTTGCCATCTGCCAGCTGCACTCTGACCTTGCGAGCCGTGGATGCCTCTTCCTTTGAATGGGGGGCCCGATAAGCATGCGAAGCACCACTATCCAGTAGGGCCATACCGTGACTCTCGCCAAGCCCTTGAGAACGAAGAAGGAGCTCCAAGTTCATCACAGCTCCGTCCGTCTGCGCCTGCATCGGAGCCAGTCTCTTGATCTTCGACAGGAACTGCTCAGCTAGTTCTCGAACCTCCCCCGCAGCCTGTTCAGAAAACAGAACCGTCGATGCCGCAGAAGAGGAGCCACTCGAAGTAGCCATTGGATCCACCGCAGTCGTAGTTGTGGTCAAAGGTGATCTCTCCGTTGGTGGGGCCGTCGGGTGCTCCAAGGTTGAGGTCGCGGTAGTCGCCGGTGTCACCGCAGTCGCTGTGGAAGGCAAGGGCGCCGTCAGAGTGGCCACTTGGGGACTCGAAGCAGGAAATCCTGGCTTGTTCTTCCCGTTCTCGCCCTTCTGCGACCGCTTGCCCCCTTGCTTGGTAGGGCACTCAGCTTGCCGGTGTGCTGTAGAACCACAAGTCCAGCACCTTGCCTTCTTGTCCTCCTTGGTGGCAAACACATGGCTGAACTTACAGGCCGCTCCCCGTCGGCATCCCTCTGGCGATAGCCAAAACTTGCAAGGAGCCCTTTGCCCTTGGCCCTTTCCTGTAGGTGAGGACGCCGATGACGTTGGAGACACAGGGTCTGAGGTCATGCCCTTCAACTTGGCGCCCTGTTCCTTGGCATTGAAGGGGATCACCTGCTGAAGCTCCGCAAGGATATGGTCCGCATAAGTCAGAACCGCAGTCAAGGAAGGCTGGTAGGGCAATCGTAGCTCCTGCTTCGCCATATTCAACTTGAATGCCACATCCTTGTTGCCTTCAGCCACATTCTTGATCGCACCCTCCAAAGCCATCAGGAGAACCGAGCCGTCGGGTAAAGAAACACCCATCTCGGCTGCCCGTCCCGTCAGCTTCTTCCATTTCCGAAGGGAGGTGATCAAGTCCACGACGTTCCCCTCGGGCTTGATATGCTCGAGCTGCCGGATCAAACTTGCCCTTTCACTCGCTCCTCCTGGGGCGAAGATGGTGTACAACTTGAAGAGGCAATCCTTGACACGGTTGATCCGTAGCATCGTGATCTCCGCCTTGATCGTTGGAGTCATGGCCGACAGTAACAAAGTCATCACCCTCCGCTCCAATCTCGCCCACCTTTCCGGATCCACCTCAGAACTTTCCGAGGCTTGCACTTGGAGCTTCTTGAGAGGGACCTCAGCCTGGAAGCGGTGGTAAGCCTCCATCGCTAACTCCACGTTCACGCTCCACCAACCCGCAGCCCGGTCTGTGATCGAGCCGACGACCTGTCCCGCCTCGTAGATCCACTCAAGGAACGCAATGGCGCTTTGGTCCTGGTAGGGCTCTGGGAGCTTGGGGAGCTCTACACTTCCCTTCAGAAGCTCCGGATCATGTCCGTCTCGTCGTAGATGCAGCTGTTGAAGCTGCTGGATTCCTTCCGCTAGAAGGTCCATTGGGGCCGGCTGGACCCTTCCATCATCTTGCCGGTGACCATCAGCCCGAGCGCCGAGACTGGCGCCTGGTTCCTGGGGGCCCTGGGGCTTTCCTGTGGCATCACTCTGGCCACCACCACTCAGACGCCTTCCAGCTGGCTCATTGATCCACCGATCTTGCTCTCCTCGCCGTCCACCTAGATCACCCCTGGGCTCTCGAGCTGGTAGAGGTAGACCTGGAGGACCCCGTGGAAGTTCGGCACCTGCGTCCGACAACCGATGAGGTTCACCTCGTTCAGGAGGTCCGAAGCCCGTGCCTGGATCGGTTTCCTTGCTTCTTGGTTGAAGCCCCGACCCTTCGCCTGGCATAGGTCCTGTGCCCCCATGAACTCCCCTTGCATCGGTGTTCACTTCCATCATCGACACCAGGAGCTGTCGAAGCTCCGCATTCTCCGCCTGCAGATCATTGACACGATGATCTCTTTGCTGCATAGCTTGTTGCACCGCCCTTCGCACCTCTTCTTGCACAACCTCAGGTTGAATCGATCCCGTCGACGACTGATCGCCTTGGTGTTCCTTCGAAGGTCCTGGCTGGGGCCGAGGTTGTAGTTCCTGTGGTCCTGGAAGAAGACGGGGTCGTGGTTCATGTGGTTCTTGGGGAAGCCGAGGTTGTGGTTCGTATGGTCCTTGAAGCAAACGAGGTTGTTGTTCATAAAGAGGCTGGTTCCTTGTCGAATCAGGAACCTGAAAACTCGGAGTAGCTATGGACCAAGCCGGGGACTGTGAGTACCACGAGTTCGGAGAAGGTGCCGGCACCGGTCTCAACCTTTCCAAACCACGCTGAACAAACCCCCGAAGTCGTGTGAACCAAACCATCTGGCCTCCCTCATGGTCCACCATCTCACCCGACTCCACTGAAATGCCTCCCGGACTTTCGCCAGGGCCGTCCTGGACCATACGTGCCGCTCTCGCCTGCAGCGCCGAGACCAAAGCATTCCTTTGCTCCGCCAACTGAGAAACAGCTGGTGCCACCTGCTCCTGGAAGCTGCCTCCGCGGTTCTCAACCCCGGACGGCTGATCGTGCAAAGCATTAGGTGGCTGCTGAGGCGGTGTTGGGCGATCTGGTACTTGTTGCGGCTGCGGTTGAAGAGGTAGTAGAGGCCGATCTGGCACCTGCTGCTGCTGCGGCTGGGGAGGTAATAGCGGTCGATCTGGCACTTGCTGCGGCTGGGGCTGCGACGTTGTCTGTCGAGGAGTGCTGATGTCGTGGTGTGTCGGAGCTGCTGCCTGTTGCTGACTTGGCCTACTCCTTAACCCCAACGTTTCACCCTGAAACCTCCGTGCCGTCGCGCCCGTTCCGGTTTCCGTGTTTGCGCCAGGTCCGGTGATCGCCGCTTCTGGCTGCCCTGCAGCCATAGACTCCCCCAGTCCTCCAGCGCTCATCGCAGTTGAACCAGGTCCAGCGATAGCTGGGGGTCTCGTCGATGGCGAAGGCTCCGGCGCCACCTCCACATACTGCTGCGAACCCGTCGGCACATGTCCACTCGGATCGTGGGGCCTCTGGTGACCTTCAAACGGGCCTCCAGGTACCACACCATTCAGTAGACCACGGCCTTCCGCCATGGTTCGATTCCTTGTCGCTCCGTCACCATCTGGCATCGGACCGTGGGCTCCACCCAGATCCACACCACCATAGGTCGGCGTAGCGCCTGCCAAGCCTCCGCTTCCACCCGCACCACTTCGCGTGGATTGGGCGCTCATAACCTGAGAAAACTTCACAACCCAGAGGGTTCACCTGTGATCTTCAACGGGCGGGAAGGAAGTTCAGAGGGACATGGCTTCGAATTGGATCGCCTGCTATTTTTCACACAAGACGTGGTAGCTTCTGCTGGATCATGGCAACATTAGCCGTCGTTATGCTATACAATTTGCAGTTCGGACCTGTCAGTCAACCTACCATAATGTACAAAGTGCAGGGACGTTCAGGTCATACTCAATAGCTCTTCGCAACTTGGGCAATCAATGCCTTTCATGGCATCACTCGTAATCGCGCACTGCAGAACCGGATTTCATCAGAATACTAAGGCGGCCTTGATACTTAGTACACGGATTCGGTTGATATTCAGGCCCATGTATTGCTTCTAGCGCAGAAAACCCTGACCTGTAGAAGGAATCGTACCAAACACCTTATCATATGCAAGCCTTAAAATGAAAGAGCCCCCAGACCTCTAGACTAAACCCTAGAACACTAAACCCTAGAACCCTAAACCCTAGAACCCCAAACCCTAGAACCCTAAACCCCATAGAGCCCTAAACCCCTAAACCTCTAAACTGAAACAGCGCCCAGATACGTCTTGCCGGAGCCGGTGGCACCGTAGGCGAAGACGCAGGAGGAGCCGCCCGAGGCGGCGTGCTCCACCTTGAAGAGGCTACCGACAATAATAAACATGACACGGACAATAATGAACATTGTAATACTACTAACAGTTATAACAATAATGCTCATACTACTAGTACTGATGCAGATGGACTAATGCTAGTGGTAGCCATGATAGTAACGATAGCAATACTTCTTCTTATAACACTGGTAGCAACAATAATAATAGTAATGAGAATAATGATGACGATAAGCTTCAGCTTCGACTCTGGATTCGCACTATGGAGAGACTGCCAGCTACATGGGAGAGCAAATGCAGCTTTTCAGAACCCAAATAAACCTCGAAGGCCTGGCCAGTAGTCTTGCACTAAGTCCAGTCGCCCCTTCCACCCCGAAACCCTGTATGCTATATGCACAACCAACCCTATAAAGTCAGAGCTCGTAACCTGAAGCCCATCAAGCCGTAGTCCCCCCCCTGCTAGACAACACCTTCTCCACCCTGCCAGACAACAAAACTTAATCCTAAACTTCAAAAACCCTATGAAGTCCTAACTCCCCTAGACCCAACCCCAAACCCACAACCCGTAAAGACCGAAACCATGATCCCTCAACCCCTTAGACCCAAACCCCCAAACCCTAAAGCTCTACTCCTCCTCAGAAGCGGCTTCGGTTTGAGTGCATTGGCTTTTCGTGTAGCACCCCTTCATGATGTGGTGCAAAACATTCCGTGCACAGCGCGCGCATTCGCTCCAGTTGTCCTGAAACAACTGCAAGAGCATAGGCTTGGTATCTTTCTGCGGCAAGAGGTGCTCCACACACACGGTGCTCTGCCATCTGATTCAACTGCGCGGTGGTCATGTGAGAGAGGTCATACTTGTCAAACTTTCCAAGGCTTGAGATCTTTGTTGTTGCAGCCCTCGCTCACCACCATCCCACCCTCAACCCGGTAGGGCTCAAGGAGTCCTGTCTTCCTCTTCAAGAAGATCCGCGCCATTGCCAAGGAGCTGTGTCCACAAAACCGAAATGAAACACTCGGAAAACCCTTGCAACCCCCTACACCCCAAGAGCGAACCCAAAGCGGTAAACCCTAACGTGTTTTGATTCCCTAAACCCCGTAAACCTCCAAATCCTCAAGTCCCTGAACCCCAAACCCCCCCCCCCCCCCCCTGCCCTTAGCACAAAAACTCAAAGCAACTGCTGGGCGCCGAGAAGCCCAGGGAGCTGCAGCAAGGAACAGGTCCTGTGCATCTTGGGGAATTCGGGTCTTTTATTAGGGTTTAGGGCAGCAGAATCAGCGGCTGTAACACCCTTCAATGAATGAAAATGGGATCTTAGAGGGGTCTAGAAGGGTTCTCTAAGCCTTTGTTTGCTAAGTCTTCCCAAAAGTCTAAACAGGGCTTGCATGGGTCGAACAAGGTTTTGACAGTCTATGAGTCTAGAATATATTACAAGAATGTTAAAATTGAAAGGGCGTACAAGATCTGATGAATTTTCTATTGGTGTTTATGAAGGCCTTATAGGGGTTTACAACGTTTGTTTGGGTCTTGTAGGGGATTGGGGGTAGGGCTTCCGGGGAAATACCAGGGACCATAAACGCAAAGAGCAACCCGCTTGATCGTCGTATCATCGGTTCCAGCCGTCTGGCATTTCGGGCCTCAGGTTTGAGGGTTTCTCTTGATGCCTGAGGCTTTGGCCGGAGAATGACGGCTTGGAGGGTTTGGCTCTGCAAGTTGCGTTTGCAGTTGGGGATGACGTGGGTTTGGGAGTTGCGGGGTATTGTGGTTCCTTCCTACCTCCGTTGATAAGTAGTACCGTGAAGAAGCTCAACCCAAGCCCGATCCAAACAAGACTCGAAAACTTGACTTCCATCCCCTCCCCGCTACTTCGCCCGCCCCCTCCCTTCCAAAAACACGGAAGTGACGTCCTCTTGCTTCGAATCATCCAGGATCCGATCGACTTTGAACTTTCGCGATCGTCCCAGCGAGTCCTAGGCCATCTAGAGGTCTTCGGGCTCAAATGCTGACTGTGGGTTTAGCAGCTTGGATTCAGCATTTAAGGTTTGGGGTTCCGGAGTCCTTTCTTGGTTCGGCTTGAGCCTGGCTTCTGACGTGTTCACTACCCTCGACATTCGCAATGTGGGTTCGGCGAACAGTCTCTTTAGAGTCTTTGGACACGGCAGCTCCCTCGTTGCCATATCCGGTCCGGAAGTGATAGAAGCGAACAGGGTAAAAAGCACCTGAGCCTCTGAAACAAATGGCAGACAAAGCAGCCATGAAAGGTTGCACAAGGCTCAGTGCAGGAACGATGCAGCCGACGAGTGCAAACAACAGGCCCTTTAAGTGTTTGCCCTAAGCTACTTAAACCCGACACACTACTCCTGAACCCGAAACCTAAACCCCTGAGAGACCCTACCGCCCAAAACCCTAAGCCCATGCAGGGGCCTTAACAATAGGGTTTTGGGGTACATTATAGCATAGGTATACTAGTGAACACCCAAAAGAGTATAGGGAATCATTGAGGCCCCTTAAAATCCTTATACTAGCCTTTATCGTAATCCTTATAGACCCCTTTAGAACGAACCCTTGGGTAATTAAAGCCTTTATATCATGGTCCGGCCTCGACAGTGATCTCAGTGCCATCCACGGACAAAGCTCTTGTTCCGAGCTCCGACTCCTCTGCAGCGGGTTTAGATCTAGGGCTTAGGGTCTCGGGTTTGGGGTATGGGGTTAGACGAAGGGTCTCTGTAGAGGAGTGTTTTAGCAAGGTCTTGCTAGAGAGTGTTTTTGTTCGCGAAAAGTAGGATAGGGATATCCATACAAACACCCCTATAATGAAGCCCAGCAAGGTAGGGATATCCCTATAAAATGCTTATATTTATGCGTCTTTGGGTCCCTAAGGAGAAGCCAAGGCAGGGTCCTTGTAGCTGCTCAGCGGCCGTGTGCGGCAAGCAGCACTCACAGGGGTCAGTACCTCGACGGCGGGCAAAAAAGCTTCAAAGACGAAACCCTAAATCCTAAATCCCCAAACGCCCCGTAAGCCTCGAAATTCAAGTGCCGATGCTGGCTTCCAACAGTGACAAGGGCCAAGTATAAGGTTTAGGATTGCTAGGGCTTGATTGCATTGTTTTTGGCCTCGTCTGGGGTCTGCATGAGGGGCTGTCAAGTTTCGAGACAGGTTCCAGAAGGGTTGTATATCGAGGCTCAAACAATCTGCCTCACATCAACCTATCTCAGAACAGCAGCCATACATAACACATCAGAGAACCTGAGGCGAACGCCCAGCAAAGCCCACACCCAGAAATATTAAGCAGAATGCCTGATCCATGATCGAGGCACAGATTCCCTTATCTTATATACACCCAAAGCTCCAAGCCATAAATCGGAAACCGAGACTCAAAATCCAAGCCCCCGAACCTAGACTCCAAAACCCTTCTACACAAAAAATCCTGAAGCCCCAACCTCCAAGAAAGAACGCAAGGCCCTGATCATGCATTCTGAAGTCAGAAGAGCCTACCGTCAACCCCCCAGACACTTTAAGTGAAGGACAACATCCGAAGATAAACCCTAAACCCTGAACCCGACTCTGCATTGAGGGCACCGAACTCAGATGCGCAGACAGCGCCGTAACCCGGCGGCGGAGCTGGCAAACCTCGAAGACAACTCCCCGCAGGGGCCAGTTTGGAGTGTCGGGGGGGTTGAGGGTTCACGGCCAGGGTCTGGCTAGTGTAAGCTAGGGCTGTTGCATTTGGGTATGAGTTGAAGCAGGTTTGGTAGTTTCGGGTCTAGGGCTCAGGCGGGTTTGGGCTAGGTGTGTTAGATGTGGGTTCAAGCTGTCTCAGCACACACCTCGACAACCTGAATCTTAAACCCTCAAGAAAGACAGGTTGAAAGGTGAAGGATGTGGAGCCCAAAATCACAAGGCTCGCATCTGCAGCAACGTCGCACGGTTTAACCAGGTGTAACCTGCAGGCAATGATCTGATCACACTTTTGATCGTAGGCTAACATCGTTCAGCAACAGGAAACACTTATCATCTTGGAAGTAGATAAGCACATCTATAGCAACCGCAAGAATAATTGCAATTCTACTGAAACCCTAAGCCCTGCGCCTCGAACCTGAAACGGAAAGCCCCCAACCCGCAACCCTATATAAACCCTTGACTCCCAGAGGGTCCAAGTATTATTAATGGGCTCTTGGTAGATAAGTGGGCCCCCCAAAGTATATATACTATAAAGTTATATACTTGACCCTTAGGGAAAACGTCCCCAACGCCCGACCCAGCAGCAGCCTCGGCCCGCTCAACCTCGGATGCTGCCTGCAGAGAATCGGGCGAAGTGTGTCTGAGGGGTTTAGGGTCTACCGCTTCAGGGCTACGGCTTCGGGTATAAGGCTTGAGGTTTCGGGTTTGAAGATTTGGGGTCTTATAGGGTCTACGATCTGGGACTGTCGGGCTTAAGGAGTTTGGTGGTGTTCAGGGTTCGGGCGTAGGCTTCCGTGTCGGGAGGAAAGGTTGTGCTTGAAGACGGTCTTTTCCGAAGATGTATTTAGGAGGCTTCAAAGTTCAGGGCGTAGGCTTCAGGGATGTCTTCTTCTGAAGTTTCTATCGAAGGCAGCTTAAGATCTACAGGGGTTGACAATGTCGCGGGAGCTGGTGGGTTGTTTGCGAGCTTCTCTGTGCAGATGCACTTTTTGATTGTGTCCTTCGCTTTGTCGGTCAGCTGGTCAATCTTCTCTTTCAAGTGGCGCTTGATGTAGGTCAAGCTCACTCAACAAGTCTCAAAGCTTCAAATGGAAACTGACCGTCTGAGCACATGGATTTGTTCAGCTGTTTGCCCGTCTTCACAAGCCTAACCTTGTCGCATACAAGGGAAGACTTTCGTGAACATCTTGTCCACTGTTGGTAGTGAAGCCATCACTTACGGATGAAAATCACATCGCAGTTCTTGAGCTCGGTGTTCTTAACTTGCGTCTTTCCGTGAACCTTGGTAATCTCCGCATTCTCACGGATGTCGATCATCTTTGTGTTGCTCATGGCATTCAACTGCTTTGCCTCCTTGTTGAGGGCAAGGGCCCCAACGCCTAAGCCTTTGAAGCCAATGGCTCGAAAGGCATAGCGTTGAATCCTCTCGGACCAAGGCGGCATGGCGCTTGCCACAACTCCTACTGAGAGTATGTCTACAATAACTCAATAACTACTACCTGGCAGTATGCCTGACACTGCAGATCCCTATGGTTATTATGCCTACAGCATAAAACTTACAGGTCTACCTTGCGGTTCCTAAACCCAGCTGTGTCATCACAACGCTTGCTTGGATCCTGCTCTTTTCACGATTATTCTAGGCAGTCGTTCTGCACCTTCGGCTTTGTCATGTCCTCATAATTATCCGTAGCCCTAAACCCTAAACCTAAACCCTGAAGTCACCGGGTATGCCGTGCAAGTACTTATGCGCGCAAGAACCACCGAGGATTATGCAGGAGCTTCAACCTAGCTATAGAAGCCTGAATCTTTGCCCCAAATTATTCCTTGGGGTTCCTTGCTATATAAACAAACCCAATGATTTGTCAACGTTATTCCTTTTGGCTCCTTGTTACAAATTTTCCTAGACTCCACCCAAAAAACCCTTCTCAGTATCAAGGCACCCAATGGCGCCCATATTAAACCCAAGGCTTTACCCAGAGGCCCCAAAGTAGTTCCTTTTTGGGCTTACCTTATAGGATTCTATATATGAACCCCAAAAAGGAACTACTTTGGGGCCCCTGGGCAGTTCGAAGACTCGACAGCGCTCTGCGGCCTGTCGCTGCGCTGCTTCCTCAAGCTTTGCCTGGCGACGCAGGGTAAGTACCTGGACCCCCAAAGTATGTAGAATAATAGCCTTTTATAGGGTTTGGGCCATTATTTTACCTACTTTGGGGGGTCTAGGTAGAGGTAAGTATCTCAGGGCTTACGCTACAAAGGCTCGAGATAGCTCAACAGCCTTGTGTAGCATGGTCTTTGCCCCTACAAGCTCCTCCTAAAGCATATGTAAGCATCTTCGGGGGTACCTAAAACCCTCAAAATAGGCTAAATCATAGCACATCACCTATAAACTGCTGTTAACTAATCTACATACTTCCGGCGTCCACATAGGGGTTCGGGTTTAGGGTCTCGGATTTATAGCTGCCAGTCTTGGGTTAAGAGTTTGCATCAAGTACTTATGGTCTCTTCGCTCTCCCGCTCTCCCCCAGGCCGGAAAAAAGAGGCACAACCGCAAATGGTCTAAAGCCCAAAACAGTATATAGAGTCATTGGTCTACAGTGTAAAGTCAATGCATCCGGTGGTTTCGAATTGCAGGGTCCCACCAAGACTTCCTTCCAAGATCATCTTCCTTTCCACATGGAACCCTAAACTCAAAACCCCTAGGCTAGACTCTAAACCCTAAAGAGTATACTAACATGTGCAAAGTTCAAGCAGGTCGCTTATACCCTAAGCTGTCAAAGGCAAGGTCCTACTCTCTAAGTCCTCAAAACCTGACAACTCCAGCCCCTCCTTCTCTCTCTGCTCCTTCGGTGTGTATGTGCTCAAGGCTGAATCCAACATGAAATTTGCTGTCGCACTCTCCGGCGCACATGTTCTGACTGCCTGATTATACTTAGCCTCAGCCTTTGCCTCAGGTTGCAGGCTTTGGGTTCGGGTGTGGGTTCGGGGTAAAGGGCTTAGGGCTGTCGTTGCCAAGCTTATTAGGCATCACTCCGACAGAACGCAGAGAGGAACCCACCTGACCACCTCATGACATCATAATCTTGAGACATCAACAGAATCTCAACCGGAAGACTCGAACAAATGCATTGCGGCACGGAGCTCGCACCTAAAAAAGCAACTGCTCCCCAGCCAGGCCACGAAAATCCGAAACTATGCACACGCTACGTACACCCCGCCATGTACATTCGCGGACTGCGGACCCCTGCACCCGAAAGCTTTAGTTCCAGCTACGGCGCAATATGGAGTGCGATAATGGCTGATCCCTGAGGCTCCTCTATTTTACCCTTATAAACCGACAACACCAACCCCCAAATCTACAAACCCGCAACTCCTAAACAACCACATGGCCGACAGGCACCCTGTCGCCCGATAAACACCGAAGGCTCTTCTGTGTAGATCTCCCACCGAACACAAAAAACCAAAGAATACCATTGAGAATTATACGCCACAACCCCCCCCCCCCTCCCGAACTCAGAAACCTAAACTCTCTAAGCCCTATATATAGCCACCGCCACCACCAGCACTGGGCCAACATAATGGTAGGACTGAGAGTAACGGTGCTATTAAAAATATACCCATAAGAATAAGAACACGAAATAAGTCTAATCAACATAGGAGTAATAGTAAGAGAACTACTTATGAGTCATGACAACATCTACATCATGACAAAGTTTATAAACGCAAGCAAAGACAGTAGCAATCACAACAACATCAGCAATGATACTGAGAAGACAGGTTCTAGCACCTACCACAATATTGACAAACGTAATCGCGCAAGCATTTAGTGTATCATGATGACCATAACGACAACAAGACTGAACATTGAATGTCACCAAAATAGACAGCAGAAAACGCAAACAAGGTTAGCAGCAGGTTAACACAGGAAAGACCCTTGCCTCAAATGCCTAAAACTCTATATAGCTGAATACCCGAATACCCTAATGTCGAAGCCAGCTTTCCTTCAACCAGACGAAAGAGCTGGGCCTAGAGAACCCCTAAACCCCACATCTTCGAAACTCTAAACCCTCAACCCTAGCTTTTCTCAGACAAAAACAGAGAGCAACACCCTAAACCCTAAACCCTAAACCCCAAAACCCTAAACCCTAAACGGAGCTGGGCCTGAAGATCTGCCTTCGAAGTCTTCACAGCCAGCAACTCGTCGCCTCGCTGTTGACTCTCGGTGTTCAGGTCCTGGAGAATCGGGCCCCCCCAGAGAGCACTCCCTACTATTTGCTTAAGAACCCCCAAAAAATAACAAATATATTCCTTATAGGGATAATATAGGGATTATTATTCTTTATTTTTGGGGGGGTTCTTAAGCAAATAGTAGCTCCTTTCAGGGATCTTAGGGCTCCTTTAAGGCCGCCTTTAAGGGCTTGGTCTGGGATTTTGGGCATAATGGTTCAGAGGTTCAGAGCTGAAATAGAGCTTCGGGCGTTCTGGTTTTTCGGGAGTTCGGGGCTTTCGTGGCTTGGGGTTTGTAGGGCTTTAGGGTTGTGGGGCTTTTGTGTTGTAGATTTGGGATTCACAAGGGGTCGGTTGGTTCAGGGGAAAAGGCGTCGTGGTCTAGGCGCACCTAAACTACGCCCTGAGGGCTCAGTGGAATTCAAGGTTTTTGGGGCTTAAGCGTGTTTGTCACAGAGTCAGAGCTCTATTGATGCGCCCTGTTTCAACACCCCACCAAACAACAAAACCACGAAAGCCTTGATCTTGGCCCTAAACCTACAGCCGTAGTCTTCAAAAAAGAGGTAGCGCCCTCCGGTTCCCGAAGGCCCCGATTTTCAGCAACTATAACCCCAAAGCTCAAAGGACCCAATAATGAGATACCTAGGTTTCGGATAGTAGTTGTGTAGGTTACTATTTGGGAGAATATATGATTATCAGGTACTTGGACCCTTAGGGTAACAACGAACACTCCGAAACCCCTAAACTGGCTCTAAACCTTAAAGCCGAAAGTCTGGATATAAGGTTTAGGCTTTGGGGATATGTCACAGTATATTTAAATGAATTTAAATATGTGTTAAGGAACCCAGCAAACCCATTGGTCTTTACCCTGGCCTCTGCGATTGAACAGGGATTCCTCGTACCCGATCCGACCCAGGCCCTACACCCCGTAAATTGATCCCTCATAGGACCCTAAAAAGAACCCATAAGAGGTACTATTACATATAGGCCAACCCCTAGGTGCATATTACTACTACTGATCCTCTACCCGAAACCCTGAATCCCTAAACCCTGACCTCTAGCCGCTGCCGCACACCCTGCACTCTGGGCCCCGAAACCCTAATCCTTAATCCCCGAAACCCTGAACACGTACAAACCCTACAAGCCCCATGCTTTGACTCTGAACACCGGAATCTTAAACCCCTAAACCCAAACCATTATGAACTCAAACTCTAGCCCCCGGAACGCCAAACCCTCAGCCCTAAACTCCCGCAGCCCTAAAACCCTATTCCCACCCTGTTCCTTGCCTCGTACTCGAGCCGGAGCTCTCCCAGCAACTGGCGCAGCTCTCCAGCCTTCCGGGTTGAGGGTTTGGAGCCTAGGGAACCACAAACAACAACGTTGGCGCTACATCAAGCACTGCAACTGAGGTGTTGGGTCAATGTGGTCATGTCATGTTCGGCGAAGATTCTGTAGCTCAAGTCAGGTTGACAGCTCCTTTGTTTCTCCAAGGCTCTTTAAGAGATCTTAAACTATTGAAGGGCTTAGGGTTCAGTTTCTGGATCTAGGGTTTGGGGATGCTTTTGGCCCAAAACTAGAAAAACCCTGCACCCTAAACTCGCCTATCGAAAAACCTACAACAACTCCTGATCTGCAGGACACTTACATATCATGCTCTCTGCTGGCTTATCAAAGCCCGACCCAAAGAGAGCTTCTAGGCACCCCCTACAATCCCTGAACCCCACATCCTTAGTCCTCAACCGAACCCGCCTAAACCCTACCTACACGAAACTCTCGAACGCAGCACCTAGACTCACAAAGCCTGCTCTAAGGCATGCTCCTCAAGTTGAGCAGGCCAATAATCAGGTAATAGGTTCCCGCACAATAAGCTCGATTCACTCTTGAAGGAACCTTGACAGGACCCGTTTATTAACAGCTTCTTGCGCTTTTCTTGGCCTCTGCGGTAAAGACTTGAAGGACTGAGGATGAACAACCCTAAACCCTGAACACTAAACCCTAAACCCTATAAACCCTGAACACTAAACCCTAAACCCTAAACCCTGAACCCTAAACCCTGAACCCTAAACTCTAAACCCTGAACCCTAAACCCTAAACCCTGCAAACCCTACACCCTAAACCCTAAACTCTGAACCCTAAACCCTAAACCCTGAACCCTAAACCCTAAACCCTAAACCCTGAACCCTAAACCCTAAACCCTAAACCCTGAACCCTAAACCCTCAACCCTGAACCCTAAACCCTAAACCCTCAACCCTGAACCCTGAACCCTGAACCCTAAACTCTACACTCTACACAATTATGCCTGAAGCCTTCGGGTCGCAGGTGTAAGGCGAGGGTCCTGGAGCTGAGGATTAGGGATCTTGGGGTCGAGCCTCCTTGGGGGTTTTAGGACTCTGCGGAGCTTTTGGGCTTTAGGGTTATACCTGGACCCCAAAAGTACGGAGAATAATGGCGTTTTATAGGTTTTGGGCCATGATTTTACCTACTTTGGGGGGTCTAGGTATAGACTTTAAGGCTTTGAAAGTAGGCCGCTGGGATCTGCTGCAAGCTCGATTCAGGCTGTGACTCCCCGTCGTCGATGGGGCCGCCCAGCCACCAGAAAGGTGGCGGATGCTTCTCAAGGGCCAGCTCGTCCTCCTGCAAGCCATCTGCAACCGACTCGCTCTTTCGCACGCCAGCCCGAAAGGAACCGTCACCGCAAGCACGGCAGAGGCTCGTCCTGTAGCTGCCAGGGAAGTCGGATCGGAAGTCGACACCGACGGTTTCCTGCTTTGCGATCTTGGCTGCCCGCGCATGGTACTGGCTTTGGACGCCGGCGTTGCTGTCTAATGAATCCAATGACTCCATCTTCTTCTGCAGGTTGGACGGCTATATCGGCCCATTGGCCAGGGAGCTACCTTGCAGTGGCACCGTCGCCATGCCTTCAAGGTCGATTTTCATTCCTCGCTCGGTCAGGTTCCGTTAGGGTTTGGGGCCTCGGGTGTAAATGTACAAGACGGGTATATTGTAGAAAAAATGTATCGGGACCAGAAGGAGGCGAAGATAGTTGGTTGTGATCTTTTCTATGTAGTCTAAGACCTCTATTTCCTGTGACTGAGCATACCTGCAAGCCTGGTTCTTTACGAAGCTCACTCCAGATCGTCTAAAGCCGTGCAAGGACAAAACAAGCAAGCGGCCACGTCAACGAGTTAATTAAAGTAGCCGGGAAACCTGCTCAGCTTTGGCACGGCAGCAAACTTTAGACCGTGCTGCTAGGGTTGTGGGGCAGACGTATGGGGTAGCTCTCCGCTGCTGCATTAAACCTGAAGCACCGATTAAACAGCCTTCAAGCGACTTAGGCTATCATGCCCTACATTCTGTAGGGTCCCCAAAAACTGTATGACAATATCTTCTGTTGGCTGAGACAAAGAAGCGTCCAAGCCGAATCACTCAAAGATCAACTCCAGAGCCTAAGCCAAGCCGCCTCGTTCTTCTCCGGGTCTGTCTGCACTCCATCCTCCTGTGGAGCGGGGTGGTTGTCCAACAAGAGAGGTATAGGATAGAGTGCATAGGCACAGGGTTTACAGTCGCGGCCTCAGGCTTACCTTCAGTCTCCATCGTAGTTGTGTGTGTGCAAGTGCCCGGTTGCTTTCTTTCTCTACCAGTCGGGGATCCCGGCCACGGGACGAGTTTGGGGCTAAACTCTAAATGGGAGTTTCCGAAAATTAGGGGTACCATATTTTGGGGTCCTTGTCATAACGATCCTACTAACTAGGGTAGTACATTAGGGCCGCCTATTTTCGGAGACCCCATATCCAAAACCCTACGGAGCAGGGTCTCGGTCGGATCGGAGAGGCCGACCACAGACCCCCACTGGAGGATGTTCCTGTGTCGGTGCTTCAGCAAAAATGAAAGGGTCTGCATATCAAGTTCTTTCTTCCTGAAACTCCCGGAATACTCTAAACTCTCTAAATCCTAAACCCTCATCCATCCCTATTGCAAGCCTTGAAACTTGCATCCCCAAGCTAGACCCATGTACACCCCAAAACCCGACCTAGGCCCTAAACTACAAAACCATCCTGAGGGCAATGGACCGGGACTGGTTTAGCAGATAAAGACGGCAGGGAACTGACCTGGCTCCCTCTGAAGCTGTGGGGTTTCAGGGCTTGGGGTAGGGCTTGGGCTTTATGGTGAGGGCTTAGGGCAACTGTGCAACCAGCTCCTTATTCCCCAGTGCCCTGGACTCCAAGGCCCCATTGCAGGGGCCGTAGTAATTGGAATTAGGGCGCACCTTTCAGCCCTCTAGTTGTACTACATGCTAACTCACACTTATAAGGAATAACACAGATAGTTCATCGGGCTGCTACAGAGGCCGAACCCCAAAGCGCTAAACCCTCGAAGCTCTAGGCCCGGAAACCCTGTAAACCCTAAACCCTCCAAGCTAAAAACCCGTACAACCTATAAAGACCAAACCCCTACAGCCTCGAAGCTCGAAGCCCATAAACCCTAGAAAAGACCCTATATAGACCCTATATAGACCCTATATAGACCCTATATAAACCCTAGAAGAGACCCTTATAAGCCAGCCTTGAGAGATGTTTCTGTCGCCGGGCCCAGCGCAGCCTGAAAGCTTCGAGTTTCGGCTCCACTGGGTTTCGTCAAGGGATGTACCTTAAACTACCAAACCCTACTTTTTTGTAGGTTCTTACTATAAACCCTACTATGGAATTTATAGGGACCCTACACAAAAGTAGGTTTTGGTAGGTTAAGGTATACATGAAGGCTACTATATAAGACTAGACTAGAGGGTTTAGGGCCTGGGGCTTTGACGAGGGCTTCTGGAAGTAAGAGTACTTTGAGGGTTTTGGAGAGAGAAGTATATATGTGAAGGGCCTTAATTCTTGGAATATGTAAGAATTGGATCTGTATTTGCTGAGTTTGCTGTACTGGTGGGAGGGTGGAGAGGCGCAGGAAGACAAGGAGGCATAAAGTGGGAACCACCGGAGATGAGCAACAACTGGCAGAGTGCCCTCAATTTTGCTAAGCGCATGTGGCCGCAGGTACACAGATCCCGTCCTACCTCTCCCGTGGGTTCGTACGGACGATGGCTTCGACAGTGAAGCTGAGGTTGTGAGGCACGGAGATAAGCAGCTGGCCACCCGCTGGAGTGCTGGTAGAGGCGAAAGTAGTATTTCCGCCACCTCCGTCAGTGCCATCCACAGCCGGACGTGTTGTCGATGTTCTGGTCGAGGTCGAAAAGGCTGCAGGCGTGGGCGTGGGAGGTCCTTCAGGTGGTTGAATCAGAAGGTCCCACCTGAAAGAACTGCATGTATTGCTCGAGGCTGCTAATATAGGGGCCTTAATAATTGGAACAGGGTTCTGGGGACCATTATACGAGTATTAAAAGAAAGAACCCCCAAAATAGTGTAGGCAAATATCAAGGCCCCTATATTATCTTTTTACAGCCCGTGCTTCCGAGCTTTAAAACCGTTCGGGGCCTTTAATTTAGTGTACACCCAGATCCTACCTTTCAATTTAGAAAGCCCAATCCCGGAACCACAGCCCCCCCAAAACCCTAATCTGCCAACCCTCACCCAAATATTGGCTTGGAACGAGCAGTTTATATAATTGAATCTCAACAAATCATACTGTAATGGGAACCATCTGTTGGGGAAGCACGTGCTGTGACTCAACCCTGAAGCAAAGCTGCGTGGCGAAGCCTGCCCGGAAAAACAGAGAGACCGGCAACAAGCCGGGAAGGGAACACCTGCATAGGCTCTATAGGTTGTCGGGTTCCTCAGAAAGAACCCTAAACCCTAAACCCTAAACCCTAACTGTTGAAATGCTTCTCACTGCATGCCCAGGTATCAGGTTAGACAGGTGTGTAGTCTGCTTGAAGGGATTGCCGGCACTTGTATAGTTTCCTTCAGGTAGGCTTGTACATGTGTGTTTCCTGTATCCTTTGGCTTAGGGGAAGGCTGCGTAGGAAAGCCTCTTGAGCCATGTGTACTGTAACCAACAACTTGTAAAGCTGTACAGGTCGTTTGTTGGTTTGTCGGTTCTCTTGTTGCTTCGTTGAGATCGTGAGTCGCCTCTGCGCCCAGCCATAGAAAACATTCTGCGTGAGCTTCGCTGCAGGGTATGGCCACCCAGGGTGAACACCTTCAACAGGTGATGAGCCCAACGCCTGGGCCAGAAGCAACCGGAGCGGTGGCTTCTCCGGCCTCTCTGCCTGGAGTGCGGGGAGGCGGGGATGCACCGCAGACTACAGTGAATGGTACAACCGCCGGAGTTGGAGTGCCATCGCCCTCTGGGCTTGCGCAGCCTATTGGGGATGGAATCCAGCAAACTATGATGGATGCGTCGTCGGGGCCATCGACTTCCACAGCTGGTCCAGTGCTATCCCCTCAGCTGCCACAAGAAACTGTTGGAACAGCCGGTCAACCGAGAGTTTCAGCAGTCGGTAGGACAGGAGGCGATGGAACACTAGGCCAGGTTGGAGGCTTGGGCACAGCTGGCGTTACGTATGAAGCAGTATCTACCACGGAGGTCGCCGATGCGAGTGGGGTGCATGGAGATGCAACTGCAGTGACTCAGGGTTTCAGTGTGGCCACCGAAAGTGGAATGGCTAGCGCTCAGATCAATGTTGCCGCAGGCGTCTCAGGGTACAACCCATCTGCAGCGAATCCTGGAAGTAGTGCTGAGGGCTTTGAAACGCCCAGATCAACGGCGTACGGGGCGTCAGCGGTCATGCAGACTGGGGCTCAGGCTTTTGCTAGTCAGTTGCTAGGAAGAGTGCAGTCTCTGTTTGGTGGCGCGGCGAACGTACAGCCACTGCCGCAAGGGTGGGCTCCCAGTCCACTGACTTCTCCTCCAAGGCCGTCGCGACCACTACAGCCCCTCGAGAGAGGAGGCCGCGTCCTGCAAGATGAGTGTCAAGTGCCGATGCCGTTGTTCACTGGTGCCAACGCGCAGCAGCTTGCTGCCATGGAGCAAAGAGCTCCCTTGCTCTACGGGTCCGGGTCTCCGGACAGGCCTCCGCACACCGAGTCCTCATCTATTCCGCATGATGCGATTCAGGCAGAAGTCGCGCGACAGCTTGATGGGTTGAAGCAGCAACTGCGAGCTGAGCAAGAGAGAGCTGGTCGTGCTGAGGCCGAACTCTCGAGGATTCGGTCTCAGCAGGCTGGTGAAGTTGAGGCTACGGCGTTGCAGCAGGTGGGTACTAGGGAGGTTGGCTTTAGTGGGTTTGGTGATAGTGGGTTCGGTTCGCATCCTGTCGCCAACACTGGGGTTGGATTTGCCCCTTCTTCATCCTCACCGCCTCCTCCTCCGCCTCCTTCCGCTCCCGAGCCTCAGGGCTTCGCTGGTTTGTTCTCAGGGCTCCTTGGTTCCGGTGCGCGGTCTTCCAGCCCTGCACCGCAGAGGCCACAAGCAGAACCCAGAGGCACACTGCCAGCAGGAGCCGCGAGTGCATCAGGACCCACAGATCGTGAGATACTGATTGCTGGGATGCATCAACTTCAAGATGCCATGTCAGAGATGCTCAAGGGATCTCGTGCCGAACGCGATGGCGGCAATTCTCCCACCAACCCTGAAGCTGTTAAGCCAGGCATCTCGAGTTTCCCAGCTTTGGCAGAGCTCACTTCGGATGAAGGGTCTCTTCTGTACCAAGATTGGTTAGTCGTGATTGGGGGTTTGGTCGGTGATGTTTCGGACACAGCAGCAGAGTGGTGGCGTCAGGTTTTGGGTGTGGTTGATACGGCCTATGGGGTTTGGATTTCGTCATCACCCTTGGATAGGCTAAAGGTTGAGCCAGTTGTACCGGCTGAGTTGCTTCAAGGGCGATGGGCGCGTGTCAACTTTAGGATCTGTAGTATGCTTATGGCGGCAGTTCCCGAGTCTATCAAAGCAGACATTGTGGCCCGCAAATGCAATCAATCAGCTCCTTCCATCCTTTTCCGTTTGCACACCACGTACCAACCAGGTGGAGGTTCAGAAAAGGAGGTTATTCAGAAGAATCTCATGCAGCCCACTCCAGCATCTGATCCCTCCTCAGCCGTGAAGTCTTTGCGTGAGTGGATTCGTTGGTACAATCGCTGTGAAAGTTGCAACATGTCACCTCCGGACTCGACCATTTTGTCCAAGAGCCTCACTACCATCACTAGCCAAGTTTTGGCGCAGCATGAAGAAGCGAAGTTTCGAACGTTTATGCTTCGTTCCATGTTAAAAATGGATGCTCAACCAACTTCGTCTGCAGTCCTGGAGTACCACAAGCACTTGCTTGCAGAGATGGAAGCCCTTGCAGTCTCTAAGGCCACAGGTGTGAGTGCCCCTAAGGTTCGAGCTGTAGGCACGCCCAGTCCGGGAACATCTCCAAAGGCCAGTGGGCAGCCGCAGGCTTCAAAGCCCTGCAAGTTTTTCATGGGTACTTCGGGGTGTAGGCGGGGTCCTAAGTGCACGTTTAGCCACGACATGTCAGGACTTTCTCGTCAGGAGCGCAGCAAAAAGTGCTTAGCATGTGGCTCTGAGGCACACCGCCAAAAGGACTGCCCGGTAGCTGGAGGAAGCCCAAAGGGGAAAGGACAGCCAGGTGGAGGAAACACCAACAATGCTGCAGGCCACAGGCCTACAACGGCTGATCAGGCGTCTACTGCAATCCAGCCGGGCGCGAGCCCAGGCCGAGCGGAGGACTTCACAGCGTTTATGCGCATGATGTTTGCAGCTGCCAGTTCTTCCGAAGCCTTTCCTCCTGCATCCACCCCAGCCGCTCCCGCGCAGCCTCCGGCGATTGAAGACAAACCTGCAGCGCAGGAGGAGCCTAAGCCGAGCATTAAGACCATCCATCTCACAGCCATTGAGCCTGGGCAGGTTTTGGAAGTAGATGGTAGTCCTAGTTTTTTGGCTTTGGTAGACAGTGGGGCCACTCATGCCCTTCGCGCTGCAAGTTCCGAAGCTGAATGGGCTAGTGCGCAACCCGTTGTCGTGTCACTGGCTGGAAAGGAGACTTCGGCTATGCGTTTGTCTGCTGCTGGTACTCTTCTGTTGCCTCCCACATCTAGTGCCCAAACCATCGTGCCGCTGGGTTCTGTCATCCAGCAGCTGGGGTATCGTTTGGATTGGACTGCCTCGCGATGCCGTTTGATTGCTCCTTCGGGTCGTGCCTTTCGCTTGAGGGTTAAAGGTGGGTGTCCAGAGATCATGGAATCAGAAGCCTTGGTGCTAATCAGCAAGCTAGAAGAAAAGCGGCTAGAGGACTTGAAGTCTCTGGAGGCGAATGTGGCCGAAGGTACCTCTCGCATCCGAGCTGTCAAAGCCTTGATGTCAAAGAGCTGGTGGGATCACATGCAGGACTATGTGAGCCTTGGATCTACCAATTCAGCCCAACTAGCGTTGCAGGCCGCGCCTTTCTTGGCAGATGTTCCCCAAGCAGCTTTGCAGGGACTTGTTGAGGATGTTGCTCAGGTTTCAGGATGGGAGCTCCTAAAGGGTTTGACGCATCTCAATCGGCGTCGCCGTCGTGCATTGCTCAATGCCCCAGAGTGGATTGTTCATCTGTACGCTGGAGCCCCAGGCCCTAAACCCTTTTCGCACCTTGAGTCCAAGAATGTGGCTGTCCTGGA